AAAGTTTCTTCTGCTACTCACGGCGTTTTGTGTAGCTGATTTTTTCCCTTGTCTTTGGTGGATTGATACTATTAGAGGGTTCAACAAGGAGTTGAAAGATTGCTTCAAAACATTGGATACAATTTTTAGTAAAGTGGTTGAAGAACACAAGGCAAAGATAAGAGATGGTGTTCTAACTGATGAATCTAAGAAGGATTTTGTGGATATCATGTTGCAGCTCCAACAAGATGACATGGTTGACTATCCTTTCTCTCCCGACAACCTCAAAGCAATCTTACTGGTTTGTTTCTTGTCCATTTAATTCTCAAAACGATCATACTAGTTTATTTTATTTTATTTATTTTTGTATTGATATCCATTGTAATCGGAGGTGTGGATGGATTTGCAGAAAGTTTCCCGTCCATTCCTTGTGGATATCTCTAATTATCATACACGGTTTAGGACAAGACAAAGAAGACTTTTTTTTTGTCCCATTCTGCAGTAGACATGCATTTCCATATGTGGGAATTCTTATTCCAATTCTAACAAAAATAAATGAAAAATTTCACAGAGCGACGCGTGAACTTATAAAGTTAATCTAGTAGAATAAGTCACTGACTTATGGAGGAACTTTACAAGAATGGTTAGTAGACTTACTAGAATAAGTTACTAACTTATAGAGCAACTTTAGGAGAATTGACGGTAGTTGCCAAATTGTGGACGAAGTTTTGTGGTTGTGGATCATGTTTTTTGATTTAGCTAGGAAGATCGTCAGTAGTTCAAGGAGAAAGTTTAAAAACAAGTTAGTGCTTCTCCACTCTAAATATTCATGAGATGTACGTTTTTTTCACCAGAACAAAGAGGATTGAAATGCTAAATGGTGAAGGTTGCTTGTTCCAAAAGATCTCTCTCTCCCCTCAGATTGTTCTTTTTGCTTCCTTTATTTGTTTGGACATATTTTGATCGAAGGCCATTTCCAACACTTGCTATCTGAGCTCCCAAGATGCTGAAACAAATACCGTCACCATACATAGTCACCAGAGGAGAAGTGACAACGATAAAGAACGAAAAGGAGAGGAGTGTAATACTCCAGTAGCTATTACTCACAAAGAGTAACTACGCAACATGGTTGATAAAGATGCGTGTCAACTTACAAGCATAAGGCGTGTGGGATGCCATCGAACATGGTGAAGTTGAGGAGCGTAAGGACAAAATGACTCTTCCTGCCATCTCCTAAGTAGTCCTAGAGGACATTCTTCTCATCTTGCCAGAGAAGGACTCGACAAAGGCAACGTGGGAGACGCTGTAAACAATGCATGTGGGTGTGGACCGCGTCAAGGAAGCAAAGGTGCAGACCTTGAAGAGTGAGTTCGAGGCTATCCACATGAAGGACGGTGAGTCAATAGATGACTTTGCCATGAAGTTGACAACGATTGTCAGCGGCATCCGTCCATTAGGCGACATTGTGGAGGAGATCTCCGTTGTCAAGAAGTTCCTTCGAGCTGTTCCCAAAAGATTCATGCAGATTGTTACCTCCATCGAGCAATTCGACTACCTTAAGAACTGTCAGTTGAGGAGGTCGTTGGTCGTCCTATGGTCCGTGAGGAGAGACTTTGTGATTATGAGAAGCATGACAAGGAGACAAACCTCATACTCACGTAGGATCAAGAGCCCGCGCTGATGTTGGCCGAGAAGATGCTCAACCTGTTGATGCTCAACGAAGAGAAGGTTATGGCGAACCTTCTCACAAAAGGAGAAGACCGAGTGGAGACCAATAAGTGGTACCTTGACAATGGAGCAAACAACCACATGACCTGAGATCGAACAAAGTTCAAGGAGCTTGATGAGAAGCTCATTGGAAACATGAAGTTTGGCGATAGATCAATTGTACCGATCCAAGGATGGCGAACAACGTTTACTGACCAAGGTATGCTATATCCCAAACTTGAAGAGTAACATTATTAGTCTTGGTTAGATGACGGAAGAGTAACTTTAGGAGAGTTGTTAGTAGACCTAATAGAATAAGTTACTAACTTATGGAGCAAACTTAGGAGAAACGGTAGTTGTTGTATGTTTTTTTTCATAACAACAAAGAGAATTGGAAAGCTAAGTGCTTAAGGTTAGTTTTCCAAAAGATCTCTCCCGGCAAATTTTTAGCTAAGTGCTTAAGGTTCGTTTTCCAAAAGATCTCTTTCTTCTTTCATTTGTTTTGACATATTTTGATCATGAACCATTTCCTTTTATTTGTTTTGACATATTTCATTTTTCTTCTTTCATTTGTTTTGACATATTTTGATAATGAGCCATTTCCTTTTATTTGTTTTGACATATTTCAATCATGAGCCATTTCCAACAGGAAAGAGAAGACTTCTCGTCTCTGTCCTATGGACATCTGTCGATTTTTTTTTTGTTTGACAAAAATTTCATCTATCTCTTGGAAAATCTTAGAGGAACCCACTTTTGATCTTGGATTGTAGGACATGTTCGTTGCAGGAAGTGACACAACAGCCGCAGCACTGGAGTGGACAATGACAGAGCTGATGAGAAATCCAGCCGCCATGAAGAAAGCCCAAACGGAAGTAAGAACAATAATAGGAAAGAAATCAAAGATCGAAGCAGAAGATATTCAAAAGATGGAGTATATGCATTGTGTCATAAAGGAATCTCTAAGGCTCCACCCGCCCGCTCCTCTGCTAGTGCCACGAGAAACAGCAGCAGATGTGGAGATTGATGGCTACCATATTCCATCAAAAACAAAAGTTCTTGTGAACGCTTGGAAAATTCAAAGGGACCCCAAATATTGGCACAGTCCAGATGAATTCATTCCAGAAAGGTTTATGGAAAATGATTTAGTGGATTACAACGGCCAACACTATGAGTTTATTCCATTTGGGAGTGGGAGAAGGAAGTGCCTAGGATTGTCATTTGGGGTTGCTTCACTTGAACACGCATTGGCTAATCTTCTCCATTGGTTTGATTGGAAGCTTCCCCGTGGCTATGAACTGAGCGTTGAAGAACAGAGTGGGCTCACCGTTTGCAAGAAAATCCCCCTCTTTCTCAACCCAATACCATATATCTAATCATATATAATTCAATAATTGTGGGGTTGTCTAGTACATGGTCCGTGTCACCGTCCTACTTTTTCAACTGCGTAGCGTCGTGATCTTCACACACTCACGACTAGTATTAAAGAAAATTAAGCCCATATATATTTTCTGCCCTGACTTTGTGGCTTCATCGGACTTAGTGAGGTTTGTCTTCGCCAATCGAACATAGTTTGTGCGGAATCCAAGCTTGTTCGACCACATACGCCGCCTGCACGTGCATGTTTGATTGTTTGCGATACAATGAACTTGCCTCTACACTAGGCCAAGTCATTCAACTCAACCTTACCTCTACTCGATGTTAGTGAAAGAATGAGTAATTGAATGGTTGATGAGAAATAGTATTATGGAGAGCAAGAAGGCTCTATATATACAGACAAAATATAAAAAAATACTAAAAAAATCTACCTAAAAATCAGTAGAAAATCTAAATCAACTCCTAATTACAAGGAGATTTAATTCGATACTAGGTGATAGCAATCTAAGCAAACACGGGATCTTTAACCAGGCCAAAGTCTCTCAATAAAACATCGCGTCTCATCTTGTCATCTCGATCCCCATCGACATGGCTCATATGTCTTGACACCATCCCAAGTCTCGGCCGTCGGCCATCACAACTCACTCAGACATGCCATCAAGAACGGGCCCGCGTGTTGCTCATCTCATCGGGACGTCCCGAACATCCATCCATCTGGGTTCTATCGAGGCATTGACTCTCTAGTGCCCATACCATGTCATTTACAGATACTGTACTGGATAGCGGGTGTATGTAGAAACCTCCGACACGGGGGCTGGGACGCAATACCGGTGTTAGATAAAACTTGAGTTTTTCCTTATTTAGATTCACACGATTTCATTAGTTGATTGAATACCTTCGTTTCACCATTTGACAAACACTTCAAATGGATTACCAAAGTTTTATACGGCAACTTTGTAAGAAGTGGCACAGATTTAGTTGGTCATCCAGTCATATAAGTTATATTTAAATAGGAAATCTGTTCAGATGAATTCATAACCTGATTTTGAGCACAGTCAAAATTTCAGCAATTCTCTCTCTCTTTATTAGTTTACGCGTTTTATTTTCTTCCAACAACTTCCCATCAACGATTTCCTCTCACCGAAAAGAAAAGGATATCAGAGCCTGGTTGAAGCCATCAGTGGTATATCATTGCGGAGGAGCCAACCTATCAACAATCAAGTTGAATAGCTCAAGTGGTTAGAGCGTCAACCTAACAATACACAGGTCTCAGGTTCGAGTAGAAGAAAATGTAAAGTGCGAAAATAAACATATTGTGGGGTCCATCTCCGAGCAGGCTCGCTCACTCCTTCATGCTGCAAGTGGTTGTCCTCGATCACCTTGTTGAGCAAGTTGCGATTTCAATTTAGACATTGCTATGACTTTGGAAGACTACGTAACGTCGAGCAGCGGAAGAAAAAAAATATACCGTTTCGGCTGTCGACAAGAACAAGGAGACGAGCCGACACCCCTCGACAATCCTTGTTATTTTTTACCAGTTTTATTTTCTTCCAACAACTTACCGTCAACTATTTCCTCTCACCGAAAAGAAAAGGATTTCCCTGACCGATTATCGAGAAGCAACAACCGGCACACGGGTGTTGTCCGGTATTGTCCTTGAAAAACTCATTTCAAAGGAAGCCGCCCGAGACACTCGTCTCGGCACGCTTGCCCGCGCTGTGGCACACATATGTGTTACAAAGTAGCTCGCTTAGGCCACAGGACTCAAGGGTGGTGGAGAGCTGACACATGATACCAAGTATAATACATTTTGTGAAAGTTTTAAAAAGGTGTGGAAGCCTCTACTTAAAAGAGACCCTATCTTAAATCGTCTACTTTTTTTCCTCTCTTATCCACTCATTGAATTAACCTACTATAAACAAAGGCCTAAAGAACTTGAAATTCTCAACAGCCGGCGGGGAGAAAATGGATCTCACAAGGAAGATCCAGCAACAATTTCAAGCTCTCAATCCCATCTCTTTATCTCTATGCCTTTTCTTCTTCTTCGTACTTCTGCTAAAGCTCTTCGAACGTAAGAAACCCAACTTCCCTCCTTCACCACCAAGGCTACCCATCATAGGCAACCTCCACCAATTAGGTGCCCTGCCACACCAATCCATGGCAGCTCTTTCCAACAAATATGGCCCTCTCATGCTCCTAAAGCTTGGCCAGAAGCATGCCCTTGTGGTTTCATCACCAAAAATGGCTAGAGAAGTGATGAAGACCCATGACATCAAATTCTCCAACAGGCCCCAAACTACTGCCGCACACGAATTGCTGTACCAATGTCAAGACATTGGCTTTGCTCAATATGGTGAGTACTGGAGACAAGCCAGGAAAGTGTGCGCTCTTGAGCTTTTTAGTGTCAAAAGAGTGGACTCCTTTCAGTACGTAAGGGACGAGGAAGTTGGTGGGCTGATGGACAGGATTCGTAAGGCTTGTGTGGGCGGTGAAGCTGTAAATCTAAGCCAGTTGTTCCTTCAAACCTCGAACAATATAGTGTCGAGATGCGTTTTGGGAGAGAAATTTGAGGATGAAAATGGGAATAGTAGATTTGGGGTCACAGTCAGAAGGGCTATGGTGCTAATTGTGGCGTTTTGTGTAGCTGATCTTTTCCCTTCTCTTTGGTGGATTGATATTATTAGAGGGTTCAATAAGGAGTTGAAAGATTGCTCCAAAACATTAGATACATTTGTTAGTAAAGTGATTGAAGAACACAAGGAAAAGATAAGAGATGGTGTTGGAACTGATGAATCTAAGAAGGATTTTGTGGATATCATGTTGCAGCTTCAACAGGATGACATGGTTGACTATCATTTCTCTCCTGACAGCCTCAAAGCAATGTTACTGGTTTGTTTCTTTTCCATCTAATCCTCAAAGCAATCGTTATAGTTTATTTTGTATCGATGTCCATTTAATCTATGTAGTCTTTCTTTTTCTTGTTCTTCCCCTATGTGTGAGATCTCACATTGATTGGAGAGAGAAAGAAACATTCTTTACAGGGGTGTGGAAACTTCTAGATTTTAAAAAGACCAAAGGTGAGACTCGAAAGGGAAAGTCCAAATAGTATTAGAGCCAGACACCTAGTGGTGTGCCAATAAGGACGCTGGCCCCCGAAGGGAGGTGGACACCAGGTGGTGTGCCAGCGAGGACGCTGAGCCCTGAGGAGTAGATTGTGAGACCCCACATTGATTAGAGAGAAAAACGAGTGCTAACGAGGACGCTGGCCCTTGAAGGGCATTGGATTGTGAGATC